TAGAGATTCTAGAAAGTTAGTATTTATATGCCTGTGTGTTTTTGTTTTTTTTGTTTGTTCACTGTCTTTGACTTTCCCGGTATGTTTGTTGCTATTGACAACAATTCAGTCCTTTGCAAGGCTTCAGTCAATGTTTTTCTTCACCACCTACACATTTCCTCGTCGGGCACGATGTAGCTGGTGTGGTATATTTATCAAGGACAGTAGAGCATTTGTCACATTTAGTGCTCCAAGAAAATATTCTCTGTCCATGTGTATTTATATAAATAGATGCAATTTCTTTGGCTTGAATAACATTCACTGGCTTCGTGCTTACAGGTATATTGGTTTACCTGTTTCTAGTTGAAATTTGGCCAATCCTATTAACCAAGATAGTTGGACATTTGCCACATGTCACAACACTCATTTCCAAGTGCCACAGTTTCAAACAAGTAGTCAAACCTGATATTGGCTGGAGCTTTTGTTTATATGGAAATGGACATGGTGAACGGCAAACTAGATGGTCAGAAAGTAATAAAAATAATCACAGGTTTGCTCCATTCACCCCACTATGAAGTGAAAGGCTGTTTATAAAGCCATTTATGATGGTTTCATGTTTTTTATGAAAAATGGTTTTAATTATAAACTTCTATGCTCCTGCACCCAACTGTAGGGATCCATCAAACTAAACAACAGGTGTCACTATTACTAAGAAAAATGTACTTTTTTTATATTAAAATTACTGAATGTTTATACTTATGTTCTAAGAAGTTAGTTACTGAACTTTTAATATCAGGCAATGCATTAGTTCATCACAGTGACTACGTATTAAAATGGGTCTGGATTCACTTTGGTTTCTTACGTAATTGTTTGACTAATCTTGGACTTTAATTGTGAATGCAAAACATGGTTGAGCTCTGTTCATTTTTGGGTGGGTAACATTTAATTTCATCACCTCGGCTACATGTTAAAATGGGTCCGAATTCACATCGGTTTCTTCCGTAATCGTTCAACCAATCTTGGACTTGGACTAATTGTGTATGCAGCCAAGGTACACCTACAGACATTAATATGGACATTCAGTTTTTTTTTTATTTAGATAATGGCAATTTGTTGGTCAGAGTGCCCTCAAGTATTTGTGGGGAATCATGTTTATTGGAATGCTCTTATTGGATGGAAATTCGAGCCTAGCAAGGTATGATATAATTTGCCTGTTATGTTCAGATTGAAATAAGTATGAACCACTAATTTGACAGGGAAGTGATACTTATAATGCAGCAAGCTGTTTTAATTGCTGTTGTGGTAGAGTTTTTATATTTTCCTGTCAAATGCATTTATTGGTCCACTGAAAAATGTTCCCTGTAACTTAGACTTTTGTTGATCAAGGCATTTTTAAAATCATGGGTGTTAACTCCCTCCAAGTTATGACCCGTTGTCCCTTATAAAATAATGGTTGCATCTGATATTAAAATTAAGATGGCGGAGTATAACGCTTTGCCGAATGTGACCCCGAATATAAAAATTGCGCAAAAATGGGGAGGCGCTAACGTGGACGAGTACGGTACTGTATTGTCAGTATGAAATAATTTGTGGGTATGATTAATGAATACACCCAAACGTTTATTCAGATACTGATATATACTTTACAAGAGTATTTCACTGTAGTCATGGTCTTGAATAACGAACAACAAATTGTATTTCAGAAATATATCATGTCATCCTTATGTGCAGACTAAAGTTGGACCGTTTTACCTTTTTTTATTATTTTTTTATTTGTTTCGTCTATTGAGTTACCATATTTTTACATCTTTATGCAAAGCAAAATAAATGACTTACCCTATGATGATGCGACATCCTGGTTGTTGTGCATATTAATAACCAAATTTACATAATGGTATCTCGAGAACAAGTCATTAAATTTCAAAAAGAATTGATACTCATGTCATCTCGACTAATCGGACCTTTTAAATTCAGAGTTGACATAGATGCTATTTTGACCTAAATTGCATACATTAAGATTTTTCTAATATCTAAATTACTACTTAGACAGATCAGCAGTACTCAACCAAGTCAAGGTCACGGAAAAGGGGCTCATTGATCCTGGGGTGAAGAACAACGGAAATTTGAAACAATGGCTCACTGGGAATATCAGTTATGGTAATATCCAAGGGAAAATACAGTGTTATGACTGAAACCCAGCAACATTTTCCATAGGCGGTGTTAAAATGGTACAATAACTGCGATGAAATCAGGTTATTAATGACACGAGCGTGCCCTGTATACGGCGTGCCATGAACAAACTGATTCCATAAGTTGATTATCATGTTCACTTTTACACAAGTTCAGCCGATTCCTGATCAGTATAAATTTGGATTTTGCAAGATAAATAGATAAAACACCCAACATTTTCAATCCCACGCCCTCTTTACGAGTTATGAACAATTTGACGTCATCAGCATAAACAGTAAGTTTACAGTGCTGTTTATTGCTGTATGGTATGACCAATCCTTCAATATTTGTATCATTCTGATGTTATGGAGTAGAGATTCAATGGCTATAACGTAGAGGGCAGTGGATATTTCCCTTCCGAATACCCCGAGCTCTCGCGTTGGGGGAAGTGAGGGCGCAAGTAATGCGAATCAAAGACTAGGCGTGGGCATAAATGAGGCGATTGTAGGAAGTGAAACAGTCACAAAAACCAAATGCATAAAGCGTGTTAGAGATATTTATGATTTATTCTATCAAATGCCTTTTCTTGGTTTATGTAGGATTTTGAGTTTAATTTTCAGGAAATGTGTTATTCTGACGCCTGAGATAAAATATCACATTTTTATTGCCATTATTTTTCTCTAATTGAAAAAAACTAAAGTAACGCGTAGCAAGACCAGTGTGTTTAACAAGACGTGCAAGTAGTTCCTTCTTTTCAGTAGCTAAGTGGTGCATTGTAGGTAATAGTGCGTTCACTTCCAAAATAGTTATTGTTGTTTTAGTATTGAATTGTATAACATTTACCTTGTTCATCAAATGACTTGCACAGTCCTTCAGGAGACAACATACCAAGCTTCATAAACTGCACTGATGTATTGGGTTTAACATTTATATTAACACCAGCTACAATGGCGGCATCACAATGACCACTGCGGATAGCTCTCAATGCATGTTCCATTGCAAGTAAACTGGATGAGCATGCTGTATTTAGCAGATAACTTGGCCCTGTACAAGAAAACTACATAGATTAAACTATTGAATAACACACTTTATTCACAAATAGTCGCCGAGCAAGATGACTTGTTTTCTACCGCCATTGCTTGTAATGTACTTTGATGGTAACAGGGACAAGAAGGGATACACTTGCGTCACCTGCTCTCATATGACTAAAGACTGAATGAATGCAAGAAATCAACACACAATAATTTCCAGAAATTAGCCTAAAATATGTTAGATTATGTCAAAGAATGAATCTATTTTTAGAAATATATATTCCTGGCATCTATTCCTCTCATGCTCACAAAGTATATCAAATTAACTAGTAAACTACCAAAGTATTTACCGTCTGAAAGCAACGTCTGTGTGCTGCTTGGTAAAATCTGATCAAACATATTTTACATTTGAATTAAATTTTCATGCGAGTCACATGACAGTAACATTTGTTACACTAAAGAAAAACGTTTACATCCTGTGATACGAATGAGATATCTTTGCTATCAGAAATATGTATGATTTAAATAATAAGATTTGATACTCACCCTTGAAGTCAAAGAAATAGGATATTCTATTAGCAAACATAGCGGGACAACAACCAGTCATGCTGTATCCAAGTAATGCCTCGGCGTCACTGGTGAGTGCTTCAAATGTTTCCGAGCCGTTAGCACCAACAAATACACCAGTATTGGTGCCTCTCAATATCTGGGGATCAATACCTGACACAAATAAAAACAAA